GTCTCTTAATTGACCCATGTTCCAGAAAAGGCTCCGTAACCATGGCAACCATTGTGACGTCATAATAAACAATACATAAGAACTCTTCAACATGTCCCATATACAAATCAAATAGTTATTAACTGGTTTTGGATCATCTTCTTAGCATACCATAAGCTGGAAATATATCTTTTTTCACTGATTTTGGTGCATTTTCTAGGTTGTGAAAATACAACAAACATGGGTTGCTTAGCAACGGTGTCATACACTAACCAATCATCTGTGAGAAAAATGAATGACATATTTTGGCTTCCCAATGGTCATACTTTCATATAAGAATGAAATTTTTGAAATATAAAATTTGACCTGTGCCACCTCCTGCCCCCTTTTTACAAATAGTGCCTCTTAAGCTTTATTCTTAGTCTCCGTCTTCATATCACTATTAGTGTTTATGAATTGTTGTAGCAGTATGGATATGCATATGTAAATGTCTCTATCCATTCTCTTCTCTTCATAGCATTTGCTAGGTTCACCTTCAGCGTCCATATTCATTATCGATATCACTGATCATAATCCGCATTCAGCGTTCATATGTTGTGTGATCCATTGATAGATGGCACCTGGTGATTCTTTAGTTCATCTTTGTAGGAGCTACTCGTCTCTGAAGTCATCTTCTTCTTTTGTTATTTTATTAGTGATTAATATATTATCATGTTATAATGGTTAAATAAGGTGAGTAAATATGATTACTATGTGAGTAATATGTATGAATACATGCAATGATGATACTTGACTAAACTTATCTAACTTATCTCTATACCTAACATCTTATGTTCAATTTACTTTTACATGGAGACATACTTATACCTTGTATGCCCTCTATATAAGATTTACAAAATTCTGCCCACCTGCACCTTCCAATAAGGTACAATCCGTTCGGCAGATTATCACACTTCATGCATCTTTAACATCTTCCAATAAGATGTTATTCATGATATATGATAAATATATTATAAACAAATTAGAGTTAGTATTATTTACAACTCACTTCAGTCAAAGGCACTGAGGTAATATCGGTTAATAAATTATTCGATCAATTAATTATGTACACCTGGATTATATGTTATGATGATACACACGTTATATTTCATAGTAGTTATCATGTGCACACACTAAGTGCATTTAGTGCATTTATTACTCATGCACTAAATTAGTAAAACATGCTTCGAATATATATTTGGTTATATGTGATTATATATGTCAGATCAATTAATTATTTACATCTGGTATTTAATTGATCAAAAGGGGATTCTTGAGATGATAGCGTCTGAAGTTTTGGCCTCTTCTTCGCTCTAGACCGTTTCATCATCCAAAAGAGGTCCCCAACAGAGACCAATTTAAGACAACTATTAACTTTCAGGTCTTCTAGAAACTGCCGGGCCTGTTATAAGCGTTAGTGTGAAATATGATATATATATATATACATGCATATATTTAGCAATTTAAATGAATTCCCCTTTTATTTATGCTTTTTCTTCAAAACTTAAACATGCAATTTATATTCTTATAACACACTTAGTTTTTCACAAATAACACGCAATGCTTTTAACGCAAACTTTTATCGTCGTTACAAGTATATAAAATGTCATCATGGTCAATATAACATTTGACCTAGTTTTGGGGGACATAATGTTTTACAAATTCTTGATCACGACTTATAGTTGTATTCACATGGAACTAATTGTCACATGACGACCTTCTATTCTAATTATGCTCTCCATCGTCAATAAAACTCAATACATATATTTTTTATATTATTGTCATTCAGTAAATATTTATGACAATCGCAATCGCAACTAGAGCAAAAGAAACACAAATCAACACATCGGTCATATTTATTCCAAACCAGCTTTTTTTCTTTCCGGAACTCAACTGATCCATTTCTGGAGAGCAACAGGTCTTTTGACCTAAGTCATATGTAAACCGTTTAACATCTTTGCCATTTTCCCAAAGATTTTTCTAGTAGTATCAAAGTGACCGGTGATTTTCACAACAAATACTCTTCCAAATTTAATTCAACCTTAGCCGCATTAACAGTTCATTTTAGTAATTAGTTATGTTAAATTTTCATTAAATCTATCATATAATAGGTTCACTCTGGTATATAATTATCTTTGATCATCAGAAAACAATCAAAGTTCTGATTTATTTTTCAATAACTACAATAAGGTATATGTTTTGACAGATTGCGCTTACAGCGATACTCATCACATTTTTCTGTCTTCAACAGAAATACATACTAGTGTGAGGCTAATAGAAGGCCATGATTTCTCATGATGCGCTTACAGCGTATGACCTAATTATCACTCATCGCCGCTTTTATCAATTGATTATTGGATATTTTCATAATTCTTGCGTAGATTTATTTCCTCATGATAATTGAATTTTTCAGGGTTTTGAAATATCTAAATTGCACTGATAATTCATTTAGACTCTAGTTAGCGCTTTTTTGGAATATTAGCCGAAATGTAATCCGACTATGGATATCTCCTTTGTCAACTTCTTCAATCGCCAAAGCATCTCATAATTCAATCAATAACCCGGTTATTGCTGACTTTTTTTTTTATTTCAGTATATACTTATTTATTTCGTCAAATTACAGCCTTTATATTTGTGTCATTCATAATAATTGATTTATAGTCGCGCAATTTTGTTCTATCATAAAACATTAAGTATACCGGTTCCCTGATAATTCCATGAAATCATCTAATATAAATTCGGAAATGATCAAATAATAGATAAAAGCTTTAATGTCTAGAAAACTAATAATTAGGAACACGAGGGAATGAATCAGATCCCCTCGCATGGCCATTGACCTTGACAATTTTCATTCCTTAATTATATCCACTCATTCAAATTTTTTTCAACACTTATATTTTATATTAACCAATATCACCTAATATTTTAAACAACAAATTATTAATGTAACATTTCTCAAATATGTTAACTACACTTCTTCATTGTTCTCTTGGAACAATTACGATAGTATATTTTTTATACCGTATTGGTGTTTATTCTTTTCAGTATTTTGCTTATTTTTTCCATCTCCTATATTCATCCTCCCTTCACAGAAGTAATGTTTTGACACATGTTTCTAGAGTCAGTCTTCCACCAAACAGGACGTCTCCTTCATGATGTAAACATGACCCTAAGAAATCATTCTTTCCGGACAATAACAACTTAATTAATGCAATTTTTACAACTCTATTCTATATAATACTTGTAAGTTGATCGTACACTTACTCTCCTGTCATTAAAGCAGGTTTCTGATTTAATTATCTACATAATTGGGGAATTATTGATTGTTTCCGATTCCCATAATGGAATTCAAACTTGCTTTATTCTAGCAAATAATGGGGTTCTACTTTTACCCTCCTTAAAACAATTAGTACTTCATAACTCTTCTCTACTTCATAATCATCATCTCTCTCATATACATATTTACTCTTATTATACTCGACATCTTCATTACTTATGTTCTCCATTGACTCTTCATTGGTCAATGCTTAATTGCTTTCTATAGCATTTCTCATTATCTTATTCTACCATTAAGAATCATTTTGATGTGAGACTAAATCAGGAATGAATCTTTCCTTTTAATGTACTTCACTATCAGATTCAAAATATAGCTAATGGGGTTCTATTTGACTCCCATTTTAAATAGCTTTTAAAACTCTCTTAATTTCATTATATCTCTTAATTACATAATACTCATTTTATCATCATCATCTTCATATATCATCTTTATTTCTTATGTGTATACACTATATCTTCTTTTATTTATCTATTCCATCGACTTCTCTATGGTCGAGGATCAATTAACTTCATATGCCCTTCTCCTAACTCTTATACCCTCTAGTTTTAAATCATTTTATTGTGAATTATAATCAGGAGCATTATACCTGTTATTACAATCAGGAGCTTTTATACCTGTTATCTTCATTTTCACAGACAGATTCGAAACATCCATATGGTTTATCTTCTGCATCAATCATCACAGTGACTGTGTCAAGATCATAACCTTCGGGTAATATTTTATTTGGCATTCTCCTATTTCTAACTTATCTCATATTTCTAACTTATTCTAACTCATAACAACATATCTCACATTGCTTACGCAAACGTAGGTGTAGACCATTCATTGACCATCTGATACCTTTTTGATAAAGGTATAATCAGCTTCATTTAATGACTTGCATATTTTGCAAGGGTCAGCCCACTGTTCCTACTTCTTGACTTTTATACCTACGATGGGTATTTTAGTCATAAATCTTATTAACTTCTCACCTACTCTCTTTCAGTGCGGTGTAACCTTAAGTTATTCACCTTTATGAATGGAATCATTTCTCTAGATTCCTCTCAAATTTTCTTATATGTGATCTTACTTTAATTATGTATCATTTCTTGGTAGAAACTTGTCTACTTGATACTTTATTACGGATTACCGTTTCAAATCTATATTTTTTAACTACGTTAGGTAGTTATTAACTTTTAACAACTGATATTAATTTACTATACCAGTATCAGCAACAGGTTTTGTTTTTATTTTGGTTTTCGACGGGTCACAATAACCTAACTTGCCTGAAGCAAAGAGCTCATAAAATATTAAGGCATGTGTTTACCATGCATATGATTCTCTTGGATCCTGCGTTCAGGAGTTAACTTAGGAACTTGTGACACGTATGTACCTGTACCTTAACATTATCATATTTTTTTGCAGAGGTATGCATACTGCATTTACCTTCTCACGAAAGTTTATTTATACCCCTTTTAAACTGACAAATATGCTTGCGCAAGTATTTTCAATACAATCATTTAGCATACTTCAGCACAAAACTACAAAAGGGACTAAATCATTTGTAATCTTTCTTATAGACCTACTCCTGGTCATAAATTGACTGGATCGAGAATATATTGCTTAACATTTCCCTTCGAGAGATTTTCGTGAAGTCTATTTTGACTAGCATAAACAGTTAGTCTTGATTTATGTAGGTTTCTTGATTCAATATGAGAATACAATTATAAAATGGCTTCAATTAAAATTTTTATGTTAAAGTTATTCATGATTTCATGTAATATTTATTCAAAAAATCGACAATTTGCATTTTGTCCTATTTAATCCTTATATGACAAATAACATCATCGGAATACTTACCTGTCTGATTGTTATTTGTGTGAACGTTTTTCTTTTAAATTTAACCTTTCATTTCCGGTTCTTAATGTTCTAATTTAAAATTCAGGATAGACCTAAATATCATAATTCAATAGGCATACGGCTTTTAAAAACTCTGTGTCAATTAAAGACTTTTTGAGCGCCTGTGTCAACAAGACACTTTGCCACATTACCAAATAATTTTGCTTTTCAAAGCATTTTCTAAATATAAATCTTTCCTGAATCTCAAAGTCTACTATAAATTTCTCGCGAGGATTGTCGTCAACATTCTTTCTCGAACGAAACTTAAGTCTTCGCATCTCTAGACTCGGCTTTTGGCGTTTAAAGAGTCAACTTGACGCGTTTTATCGAAATTTTGAGTAACTAACTCACTTTTGTTATTTTCCAACTCTAAATGTATTTGATTTATACACTCAGCTAACCAAAATGCTGACTCGGCAAAAACGAGATCACTTGATTGCTTGGAAATAACAATTTTTTTTTAATTCTGGGAGAACGTTTTTGTTTAAAATTTTGCGTTTGTTCCAACCCAGCTGCAAATGCGATGCTAAACGTTTGATATCTTTCACGATCTTAACTGTCTTAATTGATTTCTGAATCCTAGAAGGTGATCGAGCTTGTATATTACACATTTTCCTACTTAAATATATTTGAATTGTTCTAATTTGTTCATTGTTCCGCCACTGTAAGTCGCAATTAACATTGTTAAACAATTTTACAGGGCTTTGATTTAAAGCATTTCCATCAAATGTTTTTATTCTAAATTTATTCTGTACCTCATTTCTATTTTGGATCAAAATCTCTAGCCTATTCATTTTTCTCTTGAAGTTCTGCATAATGACCTTGTCTAACTATTAATGAATCTATAAATAGCCTTGTAAATCTGGGTTCTGACCTGGTTCTAAAATTTTTAATTCGACTTGAATAACTACCGTTATGATCTACTCTACTCATTATCATTTATCATAATTCTTAACGAAATTCTGAACCTCGTTTTCCTCAAACCACTGTACAGCTATTAATTATCTGTCTTAAACCTAACTTCTCGCTTGGCATTTTAGGGAAAAATTTATGTTAGTTGATGTATGATGAAAACATGCTTTTTTCATGCATTTATTAATACTTACATAACCGTTCTTTCTTTTATCTACGGCAGCTTCAACTTGAATTGTTACCTTTATTACCCGGCAGCTCCACCAATTGTTACAGATCGCTACCCGCACAACGACACCACTTGTTACGGATCGCTACATGCACAGCGACACCAATTGTTACGGATCGCGATCGTAACTGTTGCTTCGGGATCTTGTGGTCATTCGGTACTCGCGAGGCTCCTTTCTTCTAATCTAACACGACTCCTTTAGATTCGTTTCCTAATTTTATTGTAACTTCTTGATTATCGATCTCCATTATTGATTCGGTCAGCAGAACTTCAGTAGGCTTGTTATTGTTCCTCCTTTCAATAGTTGTTGAGCATCGTTGTGTGAGTAAAACTTACTGAATCAACAGATCTTGCCGACTTCTTTATATACCAGGTAAAATACATTATTTTACCTGTCAAAATTGTGCAAATATAAGTAAGAATATTGCTGATTTCATGCTTAGGTAAGCAAGATTCAAATCATAATTCTGAGTTGTGATTGGTTGTTGGAAGTTTCAACTTGTCAGAATTCTTCTGATATATCTTTATTTTGGCTGAATATAGTAGCGTAGGGATTCCCCTGCACTAAAGCAAACTGAGGTCTAAATAGTCATTAATCATAAGAAAGCAGCAAGATCTTTACAATGTTTGAATATGCTGAATATAAATGGTATTTTATATTGGATAATAAATAATAAATAAATAATGAAGTAATTATATATAATTAAATATAATTACGTACTGACCGAATCATAACAGATATATCATTCATTGATATTTGGTCATGGTTGAGCGAGTAATCATTCCATTTGCAAAGTGGGCCAAAATTAGCTTTGGGCCAAGTTCACTGGCATGTAGCGATTATAGCGATACTGGATACTTTACTGAATTGTGTCGAAGTTAGACGTGTGGTGCGGAAGTTAATATGCAGATGACCATTATTTCAATGTTATATTGTTTGTAGGCAAATTGAGATTAGGCCATTGTAGTATTTGTTTCACGCATACATAAAGCATAACGCATTCAAGGGTCACATTTATCATTAAACCAATAACTCAAACATATGACCTTGTACACCGACCACCTCTTGAAATCAATGCAGGCCAATTTCAACGAATGCAAACGGTGGTCTATAAAAGAAACATAATCAAGCATGACCACGTCCCAACTTCTTTTGTTTTCTTTACAACTAAGCTATGACTGCAGTCTATTCAGTGTTGCGTATCGAACCTTGTTTATTATAAAAATAGTGCAACAACAAGCAGAATTCACACATTTACCTTATACTTATTCTCAACTGAAGACATTGAATTTATCTCTTAGGTTTTACATTATAAATATCTTAACATGCAGAATACGAAAATAGAGGCTTAGGCCCAACTTTGTATTGATTTTATGAAAATAATCTGATTTTAGAGAAATGAAAAGAAAAATGTCCACACCCTACACAAAATATTTATGGTTCCCCGGGAATACGTATGTGTTGCTTTATATTAGAATCGTATTCCAGTTACAGAAAGAAGTACATATCATGCTAAACTATATACATATATTTATCGTCTATTATCCTTTGACAAGAAAAGTAGAGAATAAAAATGAAAAATTTAAAAAATTTAAAAAAGGAAATAACATTAATTTTTTAGAAAACTACTTGGTATATGATAAAGCAGATATGTGCGGTCGGTTTGGATATGGGGTTTATCCCTCGTGAGATATGCACGTCTACCTTCGGTCCCTATGGTCCATCAGGTAGATATAGAGATTATCCTATATGAGGTTCAGGATATTGGGATTACCCCGAGGCAAATATAATATATCTGTCCGAGGGCCGCAGGTCCCGAGGGAAAATATATTTTATTCCATAATACTACTGTTTTTCCAGGGAAATATGAAGGAATTAAAATCGTATTGAATCGTATTACATGAAAAAATCGTATTGTCCCCTGGAAAAAAATCGTATTGGAGCGTATTTCATGAAAAAATCGTATTGTCCCCGTGAAAAATCGTATTGGAGCGTATTGACCTATTTTTTAGTTTCCCGGTTATTTTATTTATTTATTTTATTTTTCAAACAATGTGCATTTATTAATATAACGTTTGCATTATCCAAATGTAACATTCTAGAGGGATGTATTATGGAATAAATAGGTTATTTCTGGTCAGGATTGAATATGGGTTTTATTCCTCGGAAAATATGATATTGACCTTGGGCAATATGATATTGACACTCGGTCGCTGCGCTCTCGGTCAATATTATATTACCCTTCAGTCAATATCATATTGTCCCTCGGAATAAAACCCATATTCAATCCCTCCCAGTAAATAACCTATATGTATTCCATACCTGATGAGGTTTCAGGGGCATATCAACCGGGAATATATTCCATATCCGGCAAATATTTTTCGTATGTCCCGCTCCGACGGAGCTCCGGGACATATAAATCGTATGTCCCGCTCAAAAAAAATGTTAAAAATAAATTCGGGAAAAAAAATTGAAAAAAATTTGAAAAAAAAGTTTTGAAAATATTCTGAAAAAAAATTATGCCAAAAAAGGTGAAAAAATTGTGAAAATAATGTGGGAAAAAAAATTTGAAAAAAAAATTTGGAATTTTTTGGGGATTTACAATACATCTTCCCTTGGTCCTTTCGGTCCCTCGGGAAGATGTATTGTATATCCCTCGGATATTCCCTGTATTCAAAACATCCCAGTGCATAACCTTTATGTATTTCATACTTTAGTGGGTTTGGGGTAGATATCACCCGGGAATATATATTATATCTGAGGAGCGGGCAGGATATAATGTATATGTCCCGCTCTAGGCCAAATGCGGGCAGATATAATATATCCATCCCACTCCCGGGAATTTTTTCAAAAGTTTAAAAACTTGAAAAATTTAAATTTCAGAAGTTTAAAATTTTTCAAAAAGTTTAAATGTTACAATTTTATTGTATTGAACCGAAGGAATATTATGAAAATGTTAAATATAAATTGTGCTTTTACAGTATAGGCCTATCTTGTCATTTGAAAAAGGTGATAAAGGTTATATCTACCCCAAGCCCACTCAAGTATGAGATACACCAGTTATGTACGGTCGATTTTGGATACAGTGTTTATCCCGCGGGAAATATGTGTATCTCCCTTGGTCCCTGCGGTCCCTCATGAGATACACATATTTCCCTTGGGATAAACCCTGTATCCAAAACCTCCCAGTACATAACCCTTATTTATTCCATAGTTAGCATAATATTCATAGGATAACATGTGAAAATAAAAACGGTATTTTTGTAATCAGTGGTAAAATATGATATTTTTGACAAATTTTCACTTAACCATAGCATACGGTTTTTTAGTCACGACATACAATCAAAACGAGGCTAAGTGTCAACATCGCCGGATCGTTTGGAAAATTCGATTTAAATCACTTAATTTCCGACGATTCTGACGATGGCTTTAACTATGGAATAAAAAGAACATCCCATGATTTACTCGTGATATGATTTTAATCCATTCATGGATATTGATATCTGCACTCTCTCGCTACGCTCGCTCGTGCAGATATCATATGCATTCGTGGATAAAAATCATATCTCTCATAAATCATAGGATATCCTCTATATCCCATGGTTGATATAGATCGAATATCACATGATGATATATTTGATATGTGGACCAAGATATCATATTTTAGCAAACGATTTACAAACCATCGAATATCACTTTTAAACTATCGAATATCACGTCTTAAAAAGTGATATTCGATGGTTTCGAATTTTTTCAAAAAATGAATTTTGAATATTTGATGACGTAAATCAAGATAATTTCTATTCGTATCTTGTCTATTCCACAGGTTTGGGAAAGTGTACAGGAAATCGAATGTATTCTCGTGTGCATTACAATATCCACATTGAAACATTTTTGGCCTGCAATGGACGTATAATGGATTAGAATATGAGGCCGTGTTATCATTCAAATGTAAAGTCATGGTATTGGGTTGCAAGTTAATATCAGATTCAATGCAAATTAATCATCTAATATCAGATGCGCGATCAGTCGAATAATGTAATTTCAGGTCATCAGTTCGATTTCTAGCAGTTGTTCTAACGACACGGTATTACTAGACTATCATGTTATAAATACACACACATATAAATAAATCAAACTGGTACACGATATAAGCACGACTGCTCTTTCAATTGAGTATAAATGTTGATAAACTTACCCGGAAGCCAACACATACACGTTTAGACGGTGCTATTTTCAGTTCAGTGTAAGAGTAAATGCCCGGATATCGAAGCTTTTTCGTGTAAAGTTTTAACCAAGCATGTAGTCTCGGGTTATATTGCGTGTAGAAATTATCGATATCAGGGCCGCTACATGCCAGTGAAGTTATAAACATTACAAAATTCAGTGTTCGGAGCCCGATGCAATATTGGAGAAAACATAAAACCAATGGCTATGCTGACTGCATCCTTTTCATTCAATGTACCAAAAAGCCAAATTACTCCTCTTTGCTATGGAATATCATTCATTCACAGGGAGTCATCTCTGGCCGAATAATCATTAATTTTCCAAAGTGGGGCAAAATTCGGCTGGGACCCAAGTCTTAAACATTGCAAAAGTCAGTACAATGGGAATAGGGGCTATTGGGAGAAGGTTTGACAGGTGTGGCATAGACAATAAAGTGTTCATACTCATACTCTTGCAAGAATACATCCTATACCCCTCCAAATTGCCACCAATTCCATGCATATAAAGATGCACTCATCTGTCCACGTCGTGCATGGTTCAGCCCTGAGTCATCTGTGGGCTAAAGCAGAGAAAAGCAGCACATGGGCAATTCTTTCTCGAAGCTTTGCAATATCTGGTGGAGGAATTGTGAGCACAGATGCTCCTGAGATAGCTCCAAAAGAAAAAGTCACAACAATTCAAGTCAGGGGAACTTCCATGTGCACTTTGCCCCCGTTCTGATTTTTTCAATATCTAAAACTTGGTACAGAGCCGATTTTGACCCACAGTGCAAATGGAAGGATTTCTCACCCAACCATTACCACATGTGAATGAATGACATATCATTGCAAAGAGGAGAGACGTGGCTTTATAGGACATTGAATGAAATTGATGTAGTCATCACTAGCCCAAGAAAAAGGCCCCAAAAAGTGGGCCTTTTTGGTCATTACTAGGCCCACTTTTCGGTTTTAGGGGCCCAACATTTTTCCTCTGACCGGAAATTTGCCCTCCCCCTCTTGTTGGTTCCTGGATCCGCCACTGCCACTAGTTCACCATTCAAATTGACTCCTGATACGTTACAGCTTTTCAAGTTACTGAGTACATACGATTTACTCAAAATTGGCCTGGACGGAAAGTAAAAAATCTCGCGCATGCGCGATCAAGGAAGGGTAGCGTGATACTATGTATATCCAGTAGTTAATCAATCAAGATTGATCAGTCTAGGCGTAATAAAATGAGAGGACCAAAAAAGCAAAGAATTATACGCCTAACTATTGTTAGCATCATTCTAACTTTTTTGGGGGGTTCTTATCAGATAGTTAAACAGGATTTTAGGGAAGAAGTTGATGTCAAGGAAGCATACGATGTCAAGAAAGAGGTTGGTGTCGAGGAAAGATTGAATTTCAACGAGTTCGATGTTAAAAAGGAATCTAATGTCAAGACAGTACCTCAGAGAAAAGTTCCTGAAGTAAAAGAAAACCCTTCTGTAGGCACCTTCAAAAATGATTTTAGGGAAGAAGTTGATACCAAGAAAGCGTACGATAAGAAAGAGGTCCAGGTCGAGGAAATGTTGAATTCCAACAAAGAGCCCAATGTTAAAAGGGAGTCTGACGCGGGAACTCAAATAAAAGTTGCTGAAGTAAAAGAAAAACCTTCTGTAGACACCATTAAAAATACAGATAAATGGATAATAGTTACAAGTATAGCATCCCCTACAGAGGATATAAAAAGTTTGGCAACATTGTCAGAATGGCAACTACTAGTTGTTGCTGACACAAAGACTCCAAAAGACTGGCAGTAAGTACTATCTATATAGCTAGTAATTTAGATGATGATTGATTTAAAATTAAGTTTTTCAATGTATGTAGAATACAAAATCTTCACTTCTATATTCTTTAATAACATACATTGCAATATAAAATGGATATCATGTAAAATATTCAATAAGCTTCAACTATAAATTTGTTTCAGTTTGAATGGGGTTATATTTCTTAGTATAGCTGTGCAGCAATCTCTTGGCTACAAGGTCCTAGAACATATACCATATTCAAACTATGCCCGCAAGACTATAGGACATCTATATGCAATTCAGGTGAGTAGAAGTACATACAGTAGAACCTGTGTAAGTGGAACGCCCTTGTGACCACAAAAAAGTGTTTCATTTTCAAGGTGTTCTACTTACATAGGTTCATTAACATGGAGTCAATATATGGGCTAGAGGACTTTTAAAAACCTGTTCCACTTGTGAGGTATTCCACTTACAAATGTGTTCCACTTAGCAGTTTCTACTACCTTCTATATTTGATCAGATATCCAAATACTTTTTCTGAAAATATATTGAGACTGTGTGATAGAAACATCGGGATACGTTTTGCACACTTCCCATCCCTTCTAAGTCATTGTAGAGTTGTTGCTATATTTCGTTTTTCGTCATAGAAGACATTTGCATCTTAAAACTCTTACCTTCCTTATGTTAATGGAATACTATTTACTCATAAAAATCAAGAACATGCACGTTTTACGTCTCCAAAATAAATAAGTCGTTATTTTGGGAAGGGGGGTAGGGGGGTAATCTCCCAAAAGTACCATGAACCAATCTTTATCTATATAACGGCCAGGCCAGGGTATCACTTACACTATTACATCTCTAATACTTCGGGTCTATAGACACTACCCTGCGCGCAGAGACAAAAGACGAAGCCATCTTTTAAGGAGCAAAGTCGAACGAAATGGTAATAGACACCAAAATGTTAAGCGACAACACAATACAATCATTTCTGGACACTTATTATATGGCATGGGATCGATTAGTATTGTGTCGTATCTATAAGCATTTTGCTGGTTGCCAAAGGGAAGCACACATCACTCAAACCAATTATCGAAATTATCAATACAGAAACTAATTAAATCAATTGTTAAAATCAATTTCCGTTACGCCGCTACACGTTGCTCTGGGCGTCTAGATAGCGGCTTGATATTATCAAAAAATAATTATTGATTCGACTTTGATTTGATTATTGATTATTGAGTTTTGACTTCTTGTTAAGAGAGGGAGAAGTGGCCTTACGTTTTCTGAAAATACAAAACATAACTTGGATAAGCACGTAGTTTGCAAATATTAGGCACACAGTTTGGGAAATCCATATGAATGTTGGCACTCAGTTTGATAGAAAAATCACGTCATGGCGTATACTAGTTTCGAGTCCTGCCTGCCTTTCGTTTTGAAATAGGTGCGCAGTTTGTTAGCAGTTTCAAAACATCATTGGGAGTGTCAGCTTTCAGAATCACATTAACTCCATTTATAAGTATTTTTGGTGAATGCAAAATATATATTAACCCGTTCATCCCCAAGGGGTCATTTATTAATTTCATGAAATCAATTTCAAAATGATTAATATCCCTTCGGCCAGAAAAGATTATTTCAAGGTTTACAATAACCAATTCAGTGTCAAATTATACTTTGGGGAATATTTAAGGGTTTGAACACAGATAGCCTGAAATAGTGGTCATTAAGTGACGTGCAGTGACTGCATTATGCCACAAAATGCGTAAACATTTCTGTTTTCGGTAGAAATGATATTCGAAATTAGTGTGTACACATATGCGTTTACTTATTTTTTCCTGAGAATATTAAGAAAGCAGCAAGTGCGTTTTGACTTAACATGAAAGTATGCACGCTTAACGTAACATCATCATATCCCTTTTGACCTCATTATCTTTTTAAAAATGCCCATACGTTTTCACATAAACCACCCTCCTACCCTTATACATGGGCTTTAGTTGAAAACACATGTCTCATATAAACAAAGGAGGGGAGCAAAGTAACATATTTGATCATAGAAAGTGACACAAATATGTCAATTATGCAATAAAAGTACATCTCCCCTGTTTTGTATGAAAAATCAACAAGGCGACAGTTTCCCCTGTCGCCTAAGAGTGTCGATTATTTTTATGAGAATATGTTTCCCTAAGTTATATAATTAAGGTCGGTTGAAGATTTAATATATATTCACGTTTTTGCTAAAATAATAAATAACCATTATGTTAGGTCTTTTAGTATTTTTTTGAACTGATACGCTTCTAAGATATGAGATCTATTAAATGGGAATGGGGATCTTAAACCGAACTTCTGAGACGGACCTGTTTGAATCCCATCTGATATTTTATAAAATGGCCAGCTAAAATCATATTTTCATTATATTACTGTAAAACCTGTCGTCGTGAACATCTATTTATAGTGAACACCTGTCTTTAGAGAACATCTTTCCTCCACACATACTCTATTGACTTCTGTATAAACCACCCTCTCTGTAGTGAACACCTACCAACACGGAACATTTCTTTCGGAGAATGTATGTATATGCTCAATATACACAGGTTTTACTGTACATATAAGATTTGCATTTTACACTCTACCCTTTGCTACCACTCAAGTATCTAGATTTTTTCAGCATGGTGCCAAAGTTATTTATGAAACGGATGATGACAACCATCCAACTGATGGCCTCAGGGGTTTCATAACTACTAGCAAGATGTATGGCGTTGTACCATCAACAAACACGACTGTTCTGAACGCTTACGCTTACTATGGACAGCCGACGACATGGCCCAGAGGTTACCCATTGGACAAAATCGGGGACAGTATTTCGAGCGAGTACAATGCAGTGAACTGGAATACACCACTGATACAACAAGGAGCTGTTAATGGTGATCCAGATGTAGATGCCATCTATAGACTAACCCGTAAATCAAATTCCAAATTATTAAATTTAACTTACGATGGTTTCATGCCGCCTTTGTTTTATCCAAAAGGTACATTTGTTCCTTTTAATTCCCAGAATACTTTGTGGCATTATGATGCATTCTGGGGTCTCATGCTGCCAATGACCTTGACATTACGTGTAACTGACATTTGGAGAAGTTACTTCACACAGACCCTACTTTGGCTTATTGATGGTCATTTAAGTTATATGCCCCCTAATTGCTACCAGTTCAGGAATTATCATTCTTACATATTGGATGCGCAAGATGAAGGAAAGCTGTACAACCAAGCCAGTGAACTCATCACGTTTTTATCTACTTGGAAATGTAAATCAAATAGCCTTTCTATGTGTATGCAAATATTAGCAGATGCTATGGCGCACAAAGGATTTTGGGAAACTGCCGATGTTAAGCAAGTAGGCGCATGGTTGCAAGACCTTGTTACTATTGGATACAAGTTTCCGGCTATTACTACAGAACAATATGACGAACCCGTTGACTTTCCAATCACTCTTCAGTCTGATAATCGATTCCCCGTGTCTGTTCCCTCAGATTCAAAACTGCTTTATATTGGAGCGAAAAAATCCAAGATCAAAAATCTTCACTACAACACATGCAATAGCTACAGATACGAGTCTCCCAAATCTAGCCAGAGCGATAAACATCAACTGACACAACCAATCCCAATTTTGTTGCTGGTTATATTCAATACGCCACATTATGAGAGTATTCCATACTTAGAGGAACTTTATGATGGTCATTTTGCAAAGACACTATACTGCGGTCCGGAAATGCCACACAAAGCTATCCTTCATGAATGGGAAATAAATTTTGTTACATTTAAGCAAGCAGGTGAGCTTCCGGGTAGCTACAACTATGAGTGTTTACTGAAGGTTCTCAAACTAGGATTGAGAGTGAAAGGTATCTTAACTATCGCTGATGACGCAATCATGAAAGTTAAAGCAATCACCAAGCTACCTTTAGATGAGGTATGGTTTAATCCGATAAATTTTTACTCAGAGAGGGAATTTTCAAAAATTGCTGAAGACACCTCGAAAATTGATCTAAAAGAGCCATTTATACTTAAAAACAACAAGGACAAGATCGCATCAGTGGAACATGGCAAAATTTCACTTTGCAACATTTCAAACTTGCAGGGCAAATGTGAAATCACCAACCGTAACACACGACTCATGAAGTATGAAATGAACATTAAACATGCATTTGACGAGCTTTACCAATTACAGAATTCAAGCAAAGTTATTCAATCATTTCTTGTTGGTCTCTCTAAACACCTTTTCGGTAAGAAAAGGATAATATGGCAACCTTCAGATGTGTTTTACATACCACAGAAACATTTTGAAATGGCAGTACCCATTGTGGATGTCTTCTACAGACATGAGGTATTCCTTGAGTATGCAGTTCCAACTATACTGCACTCATTAGGAGTTAAGTACAGCAACATGGCCATGGCTGCATATAACTGGAATTATGGTGGAATACGTGATAAGCCATGGATAGTATTCTCATCATTTTTGAACAGTTCGCTTACATTCCTTCATCCTGTTAAATTAAGTGGAATAGTGAAAAACAATAGTGATATCACTAAAATTTTCTGTGATGCTATGAATAGCAAGCACTTTGTGCATCCTTTTGGAAACGAATCCTCAAGTTAAAGTCTCAGTAAAGTCTTCAGTGCAACAATAAACTAGAGATGGATATCACAGACGGAGCTTGTGTTGAAATTCTTAAAGGGGTATTCCTTGCCAGACCATCTCTCTCCTTATATGGTAGCTATAACCATATACATACTTTGCAAGTTCATCAAAAAACAGAAAAATGTTTTGAAATGGTCATAATTGATCACTTAAAAATGTAGTGCTCAATTCCAGTAGGCTGCCATCTTTTAAAATTTCACTCAGGAAGTGATGTCATCGACTCTCAACTTGCATATAACATTAGGTAAGGAGCTATTAGAATTACTAAACCAGCTGAATATTTTTTTCAATTTGGTCTATAATTAAAATCCTTTTGATGATCTCTTCTTTAGTTCTAAGTTGACAACTCCTGAAAATATTTTTACACAGAAGATAAGGGCTTCTTGTTTAGAAGTGATTTTGTACTTCTTTCCTATACTGTAATAGACAAAGTTATAACAGGTGAGAGTCGATGACATCACTTCCTGAAAGAAATCTGAAAAGATGGCAGCTTACTGGGAATGAGTACTACATTTTTAAATGATCAATATTGACCATATGAAAAAATTTTCCCTTGTTTTGCTAAATATGTAAAGTATATATATGATTGTAGCTACCATATCAGGAGAGAAATAGTCTGGCAAGGAATGTTCCTTTAAACATCAATGCAGGGCGTTTAAAAACGCAACAAATAAAAACCAAAAACAGTGATGACTGCATCTATTTCACTCAATGTACCATAAAGCAAAATTTCTCCTCTTTTCAATGATATATCTTTTATTTACAAGGGGTAATATAATGGATGGTTGAATAATCATTGTTTTGCACAGTTGGTTCTTAATTATAATGACTGTACAATAGCTGAATACTATAAAGGAGTACGGAACGAAGAGAAGATCACGATCTTTACTTGCTGCATACTGCACACGTAAGTTCGTATCCTTGGTGGTAGTTTGGACAAGGGAGAGCGCCACAATGGGCCTCAACTAAGTAAAGCAATCCCCCATCCTTGTTCTCATATCCACTTATATCTGCCTCGGGTGCCTCATCAACGCAAATAAACTCCGACTTCTGTTGAGTGTGATGCTGGCTCATGAGGTAGCCATTATACTCTCGTGTCCATGTATCAGGGCATGACTTTTGTGCAGGAATCATAACACCACTGCTTCTGTCAGGGACTCTGCAAACTGCGCACACAGCGTCGTGGTCATGAAGCCATGTGGAAGGTTTACTTGGGTCGGGGTAGTTGTCTGTTTTGAATGGGCTATTGACCTGAATTTCATACTCGACTCCGTAGATATAGGCCCCTGACTGTTCACCATCTGTGGTCTTGCCCCATTCTGGCACCTCTGGGAGACAAAGGTAGTTACTTCCTGACCCAGTGTGTGTATAGTGAGATAGTCCCATTATGCCTGGAAACGTGAGGATACATTGTTCATGCATAAATGCAAGGCGCATTCAGTAGTACATACGATCTCTAAGAATAAAACGTTTTCCTTCGATTCCTCATTTATTTTCTTAAACATACCACTTTCATCTAACGACCACTGTACAAATATACTTTTAAATAACATAATTTTTGTATACCATCGTATGACATTTGATTTAATGCAGAAGTGTCATGTTTTTAGAAATAATGCTCATTTGCTCCCAAACACATCTGTTTATGCAAAATTTAATAAACCCAATTTCCTCAGCAATTTGCAAAAATCGTGGATTCTAAATGACAAACACGATACTAAGTTGCCATGGTATTACCTGAATATAACTTCTCCCTATTAACCGGACAGGTTGTTCTCCCCCATCTCACATAAACAGCACCTCCTGCGGGACCACCTATCCCAGGAGGTCCTCTAGGGCCAGGTGGTCCTGGGCTACCCTGTATACCAGTAGATACATTTCTGGACTCATCCTGGCGAAATGTATCCATCAGTTTTGTGACATGCTCTTCTGATAATCCATGACCATTTGATCCCTACAGAACATATGGAAAAATGAAGAAAAACAAGTATTTTTTCATATTACTTTAAAATACCACAATAAATATATCCTTCCATTCAAGGACTACCTTGTCATACGCATGTTTTCATAAACACTTACATCCTTCCCATCTCTACCAGCGATTCCATCTCTCCCAGGTAATCCATCTCTCCCGGGTGGACCGGGTGGCCCGCCTGGTCCTATCAATCCATCTCGCCCATCTCGACAATACCCAGCGTTACCTTCAACGACAATGGGATTTGTGTAGAACAATTAGATAAAAATTTGATCGTTAATTCACCAAACATATTTGTCAATATTAGGGAAATACCAGCGCTTACATTCTCTTTTAAAATGGCGGACGGTAGGTGTCGATTGTTCTAGTTCTAGTTCTTGATTATTTTCATTGTTACAATTTAGTCATACAAATTAATCCGCATCGGTATTTGTTTTGTAACAATTTGTAACTTACATTTATAGTTTTTGATTGTACTTGTATCTGTTATTGTGTATGTATAAGGTGTCATGTAACGTGACGTTTTGTAAATGCATTTTTACTTGTTTCACAGTTTTTACTTGATTCACAGTTTTTAACGTACACTTGCATTCTAGCTCTAACATCACAGTTCATGTCTGTTCAAGCGCTTTTGAACATGGTGTGTACTGTTTTTATTGTAATCTCATTTATTTGAGCTGTGCTCATTCTGTTTTTTTTAAAAATTTTTAATTAGAAATTTTACATGAATTTTCACCTTGGTGAAAATTATTTCCACCTCGGTAGAAACTATTTACTACGCGTAAAAAAAATAATTTCCACCGCGGAAATTAATTTTCACCGCGGTGGGAAATAATTTCCACCGAGGTGAAAATAGAATAAAAAAATTTAATTCAAAAATCAAAACAAAAAAAATAAAAAAAACGAAAATTCTTAATTCCGAAAAAAAATTCATGTCCCTAATAAAGCTTCGTAATATACACTTATTATATAATCTTTAGGTGGTTAGACAATTAGTTATGGTATAATCGTTTATTTCAATTAGTACTTAGAAATATATATGTAACATTATGTAATATCGCCAAACAAAACTCATTCTTGTTTGTTATTAGTTTATCAACGTAATTAGCTAAAGGCCTTATTGAAAATTTTGGTAAGCTATGTCTGATAACGATTAACAGAAGCACACATATACGATATTCTTTGTAGTACAAGGAAAATTCCTCTTAATTAAGTAGAATCGTTTAGATTTCCTCAATTAGCTTGGAAAGTCGGATATCCCGATTTCAGATTGACTCACTCCCTTTCAAACTATCAACCCTTTATTTACATCATTGGATGTATGACACAGTGACATTTTAGAAAGCACAAATCATAGCCGAGGAGCAATAATACTCACTTGCAGGTGTAATTTGACGCTTCCTTCGCTTCAGCTGAAGAACGGATTCGTCTTGCTTAACATCTGTTTTATCACCATCATAAATGTTGTCGTATATCAACTGCTGAAAATATAGTATATTGGTATGTTTATATATAATATTAAGGCTTGGTTAATACCCAGGGATACCATCACCAAAACATTGTTCATGACGATGCAAACGTTCTTTAAAATAGATAAAAATCCATTTAAGGATTTCCGAGTTCAGAAAGCCAGATTGAAAAAGTAAGTCATAAAGGAACAGCCTCTCATAAAACTTATCAATAACGGGCGAAAATTCAATACTCCCTCATATCTGTTTTGTTGCTTACAAAATCTCCATCTTTCACGAAACACAGCATAGTTAGATGGACCGTGTTAAACTTAACATTCCTGATCATAGTTATAAATCCTGATGATACTATATTGATTATGATGAGTAAGGAGTATTAAAAACACTAAATATACAACATTATTAGTTGGTCTGTATACCTGCAATTCAAGACTATCCATACGGGACCTAAGTTCATTAATCTCATCTCTTGCTCCATTTAGTTCCTTTATTCCTTGTTGCAATTCGTAATGAAATGTAATTGTGCAAGTCAGAGACGCAATAGCTAGTCCGATAGTGAACACAATGGCAATGGATACCAAACACTTTTTTTCTTCATTTTCCATTTTGTTTATTAATCAGTTCATGTCTTTTCTCTGAGCCGTTTCTGAATGACTCGTGTTTATAATTATTTTATAATTACAGTTATTGACTTCCCAGTTCAGTTTTAAATACGTCTAATAAAATTAGAAACAGTAACAGAGAGACTAGCAACGCCAAGAGACAATGGAAATTCGATAACTTCCCGGATGGTAAAGACACCATTGTGACTGACTAATTCTGATCAACTGACTTATTATAGGAGGATGTCAACAACTTGAGCCCAAAGAACCTAGAAATGTTATGCCTGATATGCCATCTTCGCTAAAAGAGATATATTGCTTGAAATTTTTACCTTAATTTTTGGGCCCAATTTTCATATTTTCTGGGCCCAACTTAGGGGGGGGGGGCAGGCCCCATGCCCCCCCCCGGATCCGCCACTGTATATGGTGTACCAGATACCATCATTTATGTCTTTGTCCTCTTTCAAATGATACTTTTTTTTCCACAGATGACTGAGCAATTAGGGATTTAGGTTACCATGTCAGAAATGGGTTTGTGCCAGTAGACCTTCCACTGCTGCAACAATCCTGGTCCTTAGATCATCAACGTCTCTTGGTGATGTTGTGTAGACTCTATCCTTGAGATAAACCTAAATAACCACCCTGGCATAGTCATTTCAATCCCTCATCCAGTCATTCATGAAAGAAAAAGTGGCACAAACCCATTTCTGACATGGTCACTTCAATTTCTTAGAACTCAGTCATCCGTGAAGTAAAAAAGGCAACTGTGGTATCATAAAAAGGACATCTTCATATTGAAGAAATAAGCTATTGAATATGTAGCCTAACAATTCTCTTACATATTCATAGCACCAATTGATACCCTATGTGCCTCAGGTAAAGTTTTCAAAGAATTCGGCTTATTTATTGCTGAGAAACTACTTTTTCAAATCGCTTCCCATTTTTAGTAGAAACGCTTTGAAGTTCTGACTGCGTTCCTCCGTATGGGATCTTTAGACATGCTATCTTGAATTTTTTAGTACTCGCACAACATTTATGCAATCTTTTTTTTTATATTTTTACAACTTGCAAACGATACTCCTGGGCTGCTTTGTACAAAGTTTCAATGAATTTGGTTCATCAGTTGCCGAGAAAAGATAAGTGATTCAATTTTGAAACTCCCGATATTCCAAACGGTAACTGGAGCTATAAAATTAAAAATAAAAAACTCATTTTTTTACTTTTGTCAAAGGAAAAAGGCAATATCGAGAGTGGAGACGACTATGGATATGCACCTTAAAATTTGAAGAAAATGGGAAACGATCGAGTAAATGACATTTTAACAGTTCAATCTTTCAGTACTTCATCTCAATTCATCACATGTCAGTTGTCACGTCATTCCATTCCAAGTCATTCCATTTATGTCTGAATTAAATATGTTCCGTTAGATGTTTATTATGATTTTCATTTGTATAAACATGTTTACAAATGAAGCAGTTCCCAAGCGTGAAGGACTTATCTGTAGATGTGGATTATCACGTCGGAGGATATTCCACGAATTTTATCAAAAAGTTCAAGGTTTAGACATTTCAGTAAATTCTTAAAGGCTCTTCCTCAACTAATTTCAATGGATTAAAAACTTAAAATAATAAAATATTTCCAGATCCACAGCTCAGAACGATTATGCTTTTGTAATTACTTAATAATAAGCGATCTCGTTGTTGATTTTATGTGATATGTGAGACGACATGTTGGTGCTTTAATACGACGTACATACGTATATGTGCAACAATCTCCTTTAAAGTAAAGCATTAAAAAGTTTACTTTGCTCTTGATGGCCATGATCTTGGTAAACAATTCGAAATCATAAAAGGTCAAGTGTTCAAAATAAACATGATTCAAATATAAACAAAAATATTTTCTTAAAAATTATAAAACACACAAAATAAAGAAATACACACACCACATCTGGATTAAAAAGAAATATTTCAAAATGGAGAATAAAGACAGAAAATGTTTGACATCCATTGCTATTGTGTTAACTATGGGGCTTGCTATTGTGTCTCTAGCTTGCTCAATTACATTTTATTACGAATTGCAACTAGGAAAAGAGGAAACCAGGAAACTGAAAGAACGCATTGAAATGCTGGAAACACTAGTAAGTAGAATCAATTTTTATGAATATATTTATTATGTATTATACAGGGAACACGACGTTTTATCTAACAACACTTTGTCAACCGTGCATCGCATTGTTTAATCATCAAGTCCTGAATATATTGTCTCATATGCAAAATTATGTTTGAACTTCGAATTATTTCAAAATAAGTGATAAAAACAATCACTCATTGTGACGTCATATTTCCCATAATTCACAAGTGTAGTACAGTAACACGCGGTCAATAATATGATATCCCATGATGCACAAGTGAGGTACAGGCAAAAATGTTGACCGCTAGTTGACCAATCAGATGCGAGTATTTACACTGAGGTACTAACAATTAAAATTATTCACCGCTCGTTGACCAATCAAAATCGAGTATTTCAACTGAGGTACTAACAATAGTCACAGTATAATGTTTGAGGAAATTTCTTTGGTCGTTTGAGACAATTAAATACAAAAATACCAATATTTAGCTTGTGAATATCTTCTAATTTAAGTATTTTCCTAAATTGTGGAGAGGAATCGTTTCTTCTAGCCCTGTTTGTAATTAGACTAAGAATCGTTTTTGTACTTTTAGAATTTGAAACAATAAAGCTTTAGTTGCTGTTCCTCAGAGAAGAATACAATAATTTATATGGATATATATGAGAAAGTAGTAAATACAGGCCCTATAGATATCATTGCAGTGTGATTTTTCCTATTTTTAATCTTGTAAAGAATTCCAACTACTTGTGATATTTAGGTAGATACATGAGCAATATGTTCATTCCATTTTAGTTTATCATCGATAATAACTCCAAGAAAAGTAGTCTTTGAAATTCTCTCAATAGGTATATTTCGAATTTTAATATTTAGCATTTTTATTTCAAATGTTTTTGATTTCTGTGAATTAAAGATCATGAATTTAGATTTTTCTGTATTAAGCGATAGTTTATTTACACGTAGCCATTCGTCAAGAATTTCTAATTCAGAGTTTACATGATTAATAAGAGTACTTAGATTTTTATGTGAGCAGAGGAGATTTGTATAGTATAATTTTTGAAGAAGTATCTCATGATTAACAGTATCAAATGCTTTAGATAAGTCGATAAAAATGGCAATATTAAAATCTTTCTTTTCAATTCAATGGGATTAATATAATGTCTCTAAGAAGCTGGTAATAGCCATATATGTAGATCTAGTTTTCCTAAAGCCAAATTGATGTTCACAGAAGATTTTGTATTTTTCTAGAAAATCTATGAGTCGATTTGCCATTACTCGCTCCAGCACTTTTGAGAATACTGATAATAGGGAGTTTGGTCTATAATTATTGAATTTAGTTTCACCCTCCTTTTTGAACATAAGTTTGATTTGACCTTGGCCAGGGCTTTTGTATCCAAGTTCTTTAGAGATTTTGCTCATTTCATAATTTGAGACATCTGATAGGAAAATTGACCTGTTAAAATTTTTTTCAAGTTCTTTTTTCTAAATAATACCTTGGCTGTTTCAATACTACATGTAATAATCCCCATCAAGATTTTTGTTTGAAACGTCTCCACAGATCATCACCATATGGGTTTTAAAATACATGGTGATAGAGATTATTAATCAAGTCTGATATAAACGGTGACAATAACTGTCATTAAACAAGAATTTCGCAGTATTTCTTTTCAGTATAGTTGAGTACGTATTTGAGGAGAGCTCGAACTAAGATTAGATGATGCTCTTTACGTATGAACTTGCTGTCTGGTTCCTTGATATGTGTTCCCCATGAGTCAAAATACCTTGTTTGTCCCGCAGTGGTAGCTGTACAAGGAGTGGTGATCATGCCCAACGTTCTTTGTGAAGATTCGACAATCAAAATTCACGTATACTAGTACGTTATGTTTATAATTGTATACTCATTTTCAGCAATGGTCGTAAATTTATGATGGTGACAAAACAGATGTTAAACAAGATGATTCCATACGAATGATTCGGCGTAGAAAACGCCAAGCTGCAAGTACTGCTGCAAGTAAGCGCTAGGCTATATAGAGAAACGCCATTCAATAATTTTGGTATTATTCAGATAAGAGGTAATAATATATCATATCAGGAAATGACTACAATGCAGCATTTAAAATCCACATATACGGCAAGTTAATAAGTTATCGGCGCTGTCTGTTGCGGAAAGGCCATTTTGTGGAATGGTGGAAATAAGGGAGCTCTCTTGTAATGATGTGTCGCGCATGCATTGTTACACATTTTGTGGCGTAATCCAGAGGATCCTCGCTTTTAACTTGATAATGTGACGTTTTTGAGAAAAATGTACACACATGAAAATCCTTTCGTCCTCCACATTTACCTCTATATCCCGAAACATTTTAGACGAATAACTCTGATATCATATATATATTTAAACCTGGCTGAACTCTGACACAGAGAAGCAATGTGCATCTCTTTTCTCTGATTATACACCGTATTTCTCTTCTAGAACTGATCGTGCAGGCGGGGGTGCTGCTTTATTCATTTTTAATGGTATTTGCCACAAATTCAGACATGATATCAAATTTCACGATGATCAGTGCAATTCCTTAGCCATTGAAATTGTCAACCAACAATCTAAGAACATCATCCAAGCCGCAAATGTGCTTCGGTTAGGCCGATTTCTACTTCCGCCGGGACGTCATAAAGTCCGATATTTCGATTTCGTCGGTAGAGCCCCAAATCACCCAGCCATTTTTGATTGTTCCTAACTTTGTGAATTTTTGATGAAATTGAATTCTGTTTTCAGTTTTGAGTTATATAAGTCTAGAACTTAGTTCATTGGAGTGGATATGACTCAAAGCTCGTGAAAATGCAGCTGAAATGCTTTCGAAACAATTCGAATTTTTTTCAAGCGATTTTTTAAGAAATTAAAACTTTTTCGAAAAAACTGGCAGAAAACCATCTCCCCCTGCTCTGAGATTCAAAGTGGTATTTAAATGATACAAGACGATATGGGAAACATTTTTATCGACTTACCTTT